CGGACTATTGGAAGGGGGGCAATGAGGGGTCTGGGGTGGCCCCCCCTTCCGATAGTCCGGCAAATCTGATATTCCGGCACCCCCTGGGTCCTAAAGGTGCCGGATTATTGGAAGTTTACTGTACTAAGTAAAAAAAATTCAGCTGTTCATATTTAAGTTACCCTTTGTAGCAAATATCAAAATTCTAAATGGAGTCCCTTTTTCTAGTACAGACAGTGATATTTTGGCCATACAGTAGAGTCCCGATTATTCGACCTAAACGGGACCGACAGGCAGTCGGATTAACGAAAATATTGGATAATACGGAAATGGCCTGGGATGTGAACAAATTCTTTGCTATATTGTGAGGGGGGTCCAGACCACTTTAGCCAGCCCTCCCCTTAATCACTCCCTGCACCAGCTGTGCCCTGCGAGAGGCCCAGGAAGCTCCCACTCCGCTGTGGGCTGCCAGTTCGCTGCGCCCCAGACAGCTCGGAGACAAAGCAGCCAACAATGGCCATGGCTTGACCCCTTCCCCACCTCCCGGCAGCAGTGCCAGCCCACACCCTGTGACCCCGCACGTGCCTTGTTGAAAGGGCTCCTACTGCCTGGCCTAGTCCCCGCCACGCGAAGGGAGGAGCAGGAACAGGAAGCAGCAGCCAGGCGGCCCTGGAACAAGGCTGCACCAAACTGCAGGCAGGGCTGAGGCTGCATGTGTCACCTCCAAACAAGTGTCACTAGCACAGCTGCGGTGGGTGTGGCCTGGCTGCGGGAGCCCCTGGAGAGCAGGTTGGGCTGAGCACGGAGCAGCCTACATGGCTTCCCCTGTGTCACTCCCTTTGTAGTCCTTCCTGCAGCTGCTGCCCCCAAGAGGCCTCGTGCCAAGAGGAAGGCCCAACTCCACCCAGGACTCATCACCATGACAGGCAATAGAGTGGCCTGACCACAGTGGGCTGGGACCAGGGCGCACTGACAGACAAAGCAGCAGTGGTATGGCTATGTCGGATAAAGCGGAAGGTCGGATAAGTGAAGGTTGGATAATTGGGACGCTACTGTATTTGTTTCCATTTAGCACTGTTGCCATGTGGTCTTTTTATGGGGATTGTTCACCTTCCTGTTTACTGCAGGCATGGTATAGAAATCGAACAAAGACAATACAAACTAATCTTTCATACAGACAAAATGAGAAAGTAAGCAATTCAGACTTTTGTATTTGTGAGTCTGATTTTCTAAATGAGGTGAAACTTGGGGGTACATAAAGCAAGTCAGCTTCCTCAAAGGAGTCCAGTAATCTGGAAAGGCTGACAGCCACCGATATAGAGTGAGTGACTCTGGTGTGCAAAAAACACTTAATTATTCATTAATAAGTTTAGAAACAACTGTGTCACTGAAGTTTGCCTTGAGGAAAAAAAAAAAACAAACCTCTGGTTGTGTCATTGTCTGTGTAATGAGTAACTGCACCTTATCTACAAGCTTACTGAAGTTTGCCTGGAGAAAAAAACAACTCTGGTTGTGTCATTGTCTGTGTAATGAGTAACTGCACCTTATCTACAAGCTGAAGCAATAATTCACCCAGAAGCTTTCAAAACAGATTCAAGTTTTGCTGAATAAACACAGTTGTCCTTCCATATTGTTAGGAGGAGGAAAAAAGGGAAAGCCTGGACACTACCAGGATGGGAGAGTGGAGAATGAATGCAGATGTCTCGCAGAGTGTAGTGAAGAAATAGAACGATCTGGAAGCAATAGCCCCTTGAAGGCAGCAGTTCAACCTTTCCAGACTACTGTAGTCCTTTTAGGAGGATTACTTGCTTTGTGTACTCCTGAGGTTCACCTCACTTAAATTACTTGCTTATAAAAATCAAGCACTTCATTATTAAAAATTGCTTACTTATTTTAAACTTGCAATTATAAAATAAATCAACTGTGTGTGTGTGCGCGTGTGCAGTATTTACATTTTAGTGTATCATATAATAGAGCAGATGCAAATATAAAATAAATCAACTGTGTGTGTGCGCGTGTGCAGTATTTGCATTTTAGTGTATCATATAATAGAGCAGCATAAACGAGTCATTGTATGAAATTATTTGTACTGATTCACTGGTGCTTTTCATGTAACCTATTGTAAAACTAGATGACTACCTAGATGAGTTGATGTTCCCCCAGAAGATCTCTATGTACCCCTTTAAGAAGTCTGCAGGAGGTTCTTATTTTAATGGCTGGAAGTTAAAATTAGCCAATTTCAAACTAGAAATAATGTACCATTTTAAAAGTGAGCAATTAACCAGTTGAACAATTTACAATTGTTGTCAATCTTTAAATCAAGATTGGAGGTTTTCTTCTGCAAGATATGCTCTAGGAATCAGTTTAGGGGAAGTTCGGTGTCCTGTGTTCTATAGATGGTGAAACGAGATGATCACAGTAGTCCCCTCTGACCTTGCAAATTACTGAATCTATGAAAGGTCAGGGATTGGGATGAAGTAGTATGGGAGCTGGAAACTCATGGGTGTCTGGCCCAACCAGGAGAGCAACAGTGGAATCCTACAATGATATGGTAAGAGAGGGCAGAACTGAGTGGTTTATTGGATTGGAGGGCGGAGGGGAGAGAGGGAGATGGGGAAGCATCCAGTTCTTAATGTGTTTAATGCTATTACAAAAAAAAAAAAAAAAAAAAAAGTCCTATAGCACCAAACCACGGTAGTTGAGATATTTTTGCAATGTGTGCATCCTAAAACATTTAAAAACTGTCTGTTAAGTCTTAAGATCTAAAATCTTAGAGTAATTTAGACAATACTGATTGTATCAAACTACATACTTTCTAAAATAAGGTTAATTCATTTTTACCTTTCCTTTGGGGCTTTTTGAGTTTGCTGGATATAAAAAGATTCCTCCATACACCAGAGTACGATGTACATCAGCTACCATAGAACCTATATACCTTGCACCATACGGAGAGCTGCCATCCTGTATAAGGACATTTTATTAAAAATCTTAATTAAAATTGTTAGCATTTTTAATGGTAATAACTTGACTCTTGCATAGTGTTTCACTCACAGAACTCAAAGTAATTTACAACAAAAGCTTATTATCCTCATTTTACAGAGGGGAAAACAGAGGTAATGGAAAGTCATTTGCATCCAAATCACACAAAAGGTCAGTGGCAAACACAAAAATGACACAGAACTCCAGACTCCCAGTCCAGAGCCTTAAGCATGCTACCTTCTTAGTACTGGCAACATTAGAGACGAGAGTTACCATCTTCCATTAGCAGTAAAAGAGTGCTATCCCTAGCTCCTCTCCAGGTTGTGCTCACCAGATCACACCACTTCAGAGCTGTAAGCTAATCAAATCTATAGCAAAGAAGCCCTGTTTTATCAATTAATGGGGGATCAAATTAATAACTTATAACAACTTAAGAATGCAGTAAATTCTGGTGCATAAGCTGCAGTACAGCGCACTTCACTTTCTTCTTCAAACCACTGTAAGGCAATTTCCAGTGCACTGGAATCTGATAAGCTGTTGACTTTTTCTGAGGTCACTTTATTAGTAGTAGTAGTATTACTATTAGTACTTCTTCCCCTTACCCCTGGCATGGAAAAATGACTCAACTTGTTGTTCATAATGTTGGTCAAGAAATGTTATTGTATTTTGCCCTAGTCTATTTTCTGGCAGCTGGGAATGGGAAAATTTCAGTAAACATCTGATAATCCGGCACCTTTAGGACCCAGGGGGTGCCGGATTATCAGATATGACAAGTTTTTCTTTAGGCTTTGTTCTTTACTGAAAAAAAATCGTCACAATCTCATAGGGAATGCCTTAAACAGTGGCACTTCCCTCTCCCCCAAAGTCACCAATTCAAAGTGGATTTTGGATAGAGAAAAGAGGTTATCTAATTAACTGTTGGGGATGATTTGTTAGTAACCTCTTTAATTTTATAAGAAGCCCCTGTTATCCTCAACAGAGAGGACTCAGACTGAATGAGAATGGGGACATTGCACTGCATCTGGGATCATGCTGCCAGGTGGGACAGACTGATGCTAGCTCTGTTTGATTAAGCATGCTAAAAACAACCATGTGGCCAGAGATAGCACAAGTGGCAGTCAGCTGCATATCCTGCGGTCCAGTTGGGTTTGTAATTCAGGGGCTTTAGTATGCTAGCTCAAGCATAGCTAGTGTCTGTCTGTCTACCCGAGCTGGGAAGCAGCATCCCAGCTGCAGTGTAGATGTACCCTTAAAGATGGTTCTCTGTTTCAGAGAGACAGGCAGTACGAGGACGTTTGAATTTCAGATATCACACCTAGTGTGTGTATGTTTCCAGAGTTGTCAAATGAGAACTAAGTTTATTTAAAAACTCTATACAAACACACAAAAATATGCCTGCCATTGTGAAAAATTATTAAGCCCTATTATACCTATGCTGGTAGCAAAGAAAGACCAATCATTTCATAGAACAGTGGTATCCACCAAGCAATTCCTTTCAAGTTTTCAATAGTTGGCTTTACATCAATCTGATTCTTGAAGTTAATCCAGAATTAACTTCAAACTGCTACTTAAATTTTATCAAGATTCTCAGTGGGTCAGTTTATCAAACCAAGGTCCTGCTAGCTTATACCTATGCTGGTAGCAAAGAAAGACCAATCATTTCATAGAACAGTGGTATCCACCAAGCAATTCCTTTCAAGTTTTCAATAGTTGGCTTTACATCAATCTGATTCTTGAAGTTAATCCAGAATTAACTTCAAACTGCTACTTAAATTTTATCAAGATTCTCAGTGGGTCAGTTTATCAAACCAAGGTCCTGCTAGCTCTGACACAAATTAACAACAAACCCTAAGATTTTATTTAACTTATGGTATTCACCGGTAGTATTCAGCCAATGTGATTAACACTGGACATAGATAGGATGTAAAGCCACCTGGTGTCAGTATAGGCTGTACCTCCCTTACATGGGACTCTCTTTTGTCCAGCTACATCAGTGGTCCAACAGTACCAGGGATGTTGCTGGACGACAGAGCCCAAGTATAAGGAGGTCAGGCCATGGGGCAGGAGTGCAGTGGAGGGACCGGCAACTCACTTGGGAGCCCTGTGTGTGTGGGCGGAGGGGACGTGGAGGATTGGGCAATGCAGCGGAGAGTTCTGCTCCCTGTGGCCAGAAGGTAGCAGGGGTCGGCAGTGGCTGGGGGGGGCGTCCAGTGGTGGCAGTTAGGGAGCCATAGCTTGCCAGGCAGCGGCAGTGCCAGGCTGGAGCCCTAGTAGGGGGCAAGAGTTCAGCATGGGACATGTTGGGAGGGACCTCCCCTGGTCTGGCAAATCCCCTCGTTCAGGACCAGTCAGGTCCGGAGCGTGCCGGATGAGAGAGGTCCAACCTGTAGTGTTCCCTATGGGTCTTCTAACAGCAGTTGGTAGCTTTGAGGACCGGAACCATCATTCCTCTAATCAAAGATGCATTTGCTATTTCAGATGAATATTGTATTAGTAGATTCTAAAGCAAGAACATAGCATTGCAATCTAATTTACCAAATAAAGTAGTAAGACTCATAGGTAAATTTACCAGATGTTAATCTTTGCTCAAGGAAAGATCACTGACATAAGACTGAACACATGCTCCTACAGGTTTCAAGAGGCTTATACTTTATTGTCCAGGCAGTGCCTTTAAAGTTCAAAGAGGAAATTAGCATTCTGTTGGATTTGTCAGAGGGAATTTATCTGGGTTCTTATTGACACCTATCAATTTCAGGCTTCACGACTACTAATTGCATAGCATAAAGGACTATTTAAATGTCAAAGTCTGCCTTAAAGCAAAAGATATAATTATATAGTCAACTTCCAGCAATACTAAGCACAAGTCTCGTTTCCACACCCATTCAGTACTCCAGCCAATCATCATCAGATGGACCGGTGTTTTGGGTAGGAAGAAGCAGACCCCTCACTTCTTGCTTCTGCAGCCAGATAAGAATTCCTCTCCACACAGCCACTACAGAACAGGGCCTCAAACCCCAATTCTTTTCTAGAGCCAGCCCTGGCTACAGCAACAAGGGAAGCAGAATGGAAAAAATACAAGTGTTTTACTGAAAAAATGGGGTGGGAGGGGAAGGGGGTTGTATGATGATTGCTTTTTTGGATTAGCAGTTCTTTGAATCAGCCACTCTGAGTGCAGTGTGTGAATGGGTACTCCCTGCCAACCCAAAATAAATCCAACATTTCAAGTATGAGAGGGGAAAAACAAGCTCTGCAGTGTTGTTTGAGCAACTAGTCAGGTATATTGGCTCAATGAGCCATAAAGTGACTTAAGATATCACTAAGAAAAACAAAGCCCAAGGAAGAGCTAGTAAGCTTTGATTTGTACGCTATTAGCATTGAGTCTTGCCTAACTTTGTTGTCTGACATCCTGCATATATGCATAATAACTGTGTAAAGTTTGAGGCACCAAACATTCGCTAATCTTAGAATTTTTTTCTAAAAACTGAACACTTACCTGAGGAAATTTCTTCTTTTTAAGATACTCAGTGACTGCAGGATCAAAATATGCAGCGTAACCCTCATTGAGACTGTAGATATTTCCTCTCTTTTTGATTTTCACATCCTTATCGACCAAAATGAATTCCCCAATTGCCTAATAATAATGAGAAGTCAACTTACAGCATGCATGTTGTTCACAAGACTGAAGACAAGGGAATGCTATATACTGTACAGTTTAGTGAAAACCTACTGCAGTTTCCATTTTCTTTTAACAATTCAGTACTTAGGGAGGAGGGAAAGAAAGTACAGATCTGCAGTCTTGTTTACCAATATAAGACACACACAAACCCTGACTCATGCAAGTTTCTTCACATGAACACTCCTCATTCAAAATAATTGTCCTGAACCAAGGGTATGTCAATTTTAGAAATTGATTAGCCCAAAGTAACCTAATTCCAGGAGGAATAACAGCTAATTCGATTTAGGGCTTTAATTTGGAATCCCGTTTCACTGCTGCGTGTAGATGCGGGCAGTTACTTCAGGTTAGTCAATTTCTAAAATGGCAACCGGCTGGGAACATGCTAATGAAGCGCGGGATATTTAAATCCCGTGCTTCATTTGCAATTTTGGTCACCCTTATTAGCCTCCCTAGATTGAACTAGGGGGCTAGTGTAGACGTACCCCAAAAGAGTAGTTTCATGCAAATCCACTCTGTTCTTTTTCATTTTAGAACAGATGGCCACGGTGCAATTGTGCAGTTTTAGGGATTGTGAACACCTATCCAATAGGATTTGGACTGAGTTTTCTAACTTAATTTGACTAGCCACGAAGTGGTGACAAGTTTGACGCTACTAGTCTGATCAGAATGAAAACAGTAAACTACTAATGAAGTACATAGTTACTAAATACTATTAGTCTGATCAGAATGAAAATAGTAATCTACTAATGAAGTACATAGTTACTAAATGTCTAAGTTGTCCAGTTTCCACTGCAATGAGTTTTCACATTTGAGGGTGACAGACAAAAAACAAAACAAAACAAATAAAAGGGTCAGGTGTCCTAGTTTCTAAACAGAAAAGTTGAAAGACAAAAAACTAAACAAAACAAAAAAAAGGGTCAAGTGTCCTAGTTTCTAAACAGAAAAGTTGAAAACACATGCAGACATTTAAAACATCATTATATAGGAAACATCAAATTCTACTTCCTTGAAACTATTGCCATGGCACATTCCAAACAACGTAACTTACTATTGGTAAAAGAAGGCAGAAAAACCTGATTTACAACAGAATGGCTTTAAATTAAACAGAGTTACTGCAGCCAACTGCACTATGTGATGGTAAACATGCTTTTTATTTCAAAAGTCTAATGGCCAATAGTTTCTAGAATGTTAAACACATACATACTTCATACTTACTCTTTTAAACAATCAGGACATGATCTGTAAGCGTAAGAGAACATTAATGTTTTTCTGCATCTCTAGTCTACTAAAAGATTAAAAGGTACCAGAGTTAAGGAATGTACTAAGCTACAAGAGACAGTCTTAAGGAAAATTCTGTAAATGCAGAAAATGCTTAAATATTCATCACATCAGGTGGCATGTGATGTATACTTGATTCTCTGATTAAATAGCTATTTTGAGTCAGATTATTAATTGCCACTTTTGTCTCCAGCAGAAGGGTAGAATGCCCAAAGCCTACTTGAGCGTGTGTTCGTTCTATTTTTTTAAATAGGCACATCAACTCCCATGGGTTCTTGTAAGAATACTGCACCTTCAAATGTTAAGATTTAGTTTGGAAGCAACTCCGTATATGATCCATTTACGAAACTTTTGTTCTGAAATGGTGTTCTTGCTCTCTCTCTATTCATACAAGGTTTAAACTTCCTTACCGGGTCAAGCATAAAACAGTTGACACCAGATTCAATGGCAAGCACCAGCATTGTGGCACTCCCATAGAGGGCATAACCAGCTGCCACAAGATTACGTCCAGGCTGTAAAGCATCTTTTTCAGACGGTTCCCCAGAGGAAACCTGGAATAGAAAGAAAGGGTGTTAATTTTTTAAACTAAAAATTCCCAAGATTCATTTATTTTATAAGCTTCATTCATTTATAATAATGGAACCACAACTGCATGTGCTGCTAGAATAGGCTATTACTGCATACCTGTGGAACACCAAGCCTAAAACAGCGTGACTGCTGAAGAGCAGCAGTAGCTTAATAGATATGGTTTAGCTTATTGCTAGAGCATGGCCACCAGTTAGAAAAAACCCTCCTTAAAACTCTGTTCTGTAATGCTGATAAAAACTACACAACTGTTAGGCTGCTAGTGTGCTGATACACTATAGGTCAAGTACGATAGCAATTAATCTAATTGTTTTATTAATTTTTGTTCACCCCCAAAGTCATCTGTTCTCTTGTTACATACTAGGGATGTAATAGTGTAGTCGATTAACCTCTGATAAGCAAAAGCTTATAGGTTAATGATATAGACTACATGCATTCCCCTCCACCCCCCAACAGGGGCTGCACAGGGCGACAGGCAGCTGATCTTTGAGGGGAGCTGCTTTTTAAACTGGCTCTCCTTGCGGACCAGCTCTCACCTGGCTCCCTGCACAGAGCGGCAGGGGACTTCTCAGGAGTGGTGCTGGAGTGCATTGGCTGCCAGTCCCACCCCTGGAGACTATAGAAGTCGATTAACCGATATGAATTCATGAGGTTACTTGACTACCCAATTAACCAATATTTAACATCCCTATTATATACCAGACTAAACTCTAAGGTAGGGACCGTAATTGTGTTCTGTGTTTGTACAATGCCTACTATATTGGAGTCTTGGCTCCTGGGGTAGAATTGAAAAGACAAAATGAAACTTTAGTCAGAATGTTTAAAATTGATAATTAGAGCCAAGAACTTTTGTTTTCTTTTGCTCCCTAGGGAAGTGAGTGCAAAGAAGTTACTTTTAGGAGCATCAAAATCTGGATCAGGGTGGTTAAAGATGGAGAGTGTATCTTGTCCGAATTCAGTTATTTCCATGCTTGAGACGTGTTAATCCTGTATTTCATATGCCTTCTTCTATTTTTCAGAATGAAGTAGGCATGTTAAAGTTAAAAGCAATGTTTCAAACAAACAATCTCATCTTTGAAGCCTGTCCTCAAGTTGACAGGACTACATGTATAAGACAGAAGTACTAGTTGCACTGAAGAATGTACATAACTCAAGTAAATGAGATTAATGTTCTACTTGGTCTCAAATTGTAACCAAATTATGAAACACTAGAAGATTTACCCAGTGTTGCTCGGGTCCATAATTTGGGAATTCCATCAAGTTATTTTCTTCATCCCTATAAACCCTTATTCACTATGTTTTGTCAATTTGGTTTCCAACAACAGTTTCTTCTAATTTTCAAATCTTACTCATTCATCTAGCTGTGCCACAACAGAGCACTACTCCCAATTTTTCTGTTTTCTCTTTTCTGTAAAGTTTGAGAAGCAATCATATTCTAGGTTCATCCTATTTTTCTGGCTCATCTTGATTCAGTCTCTTTCACCATTTGCTGAATTGTAAGGTCTGTACTTGCTTTGGTGTTTGCTTCCCATAAAACCAAACAAAACAGACAATCCCATTCCAGGCATGACTCATTTTCCTGGCACAACCAAATCCTTACATTGCTCATCAGAAGAAGCTGCATACTGAATTTGTCTTAGCGCTTACAGTTTAGGAGGCGCTATTGATAAGTCTACTATGATATTAGAGAGTTTAACTCCTGTTAGCTTTGTCATTGTTAGATGAATCTAACTGGCTAATTAAATATCAACCAGGACTGTAAATAAGTAGGTCTAACAAAATGATATGTATCGTTCAAATGTATTGTGTAATTCAGCATTTGTAGATTTAGTTGGATTTAATTAACTCTGTGGACTCCAATTGTATTGTTAAGCTTGTTAAGTGCCAAGAACTACTTATCTGCCCTTCCCTTCCAGACTTTGTCATAGCATGACAGCATCACACTTTACCTTTCTATAGATGGCAAAGATAGTTCCAATAGAAACAAGGCAGTCAATGTTAGAAGAGCCATCAAGAGGATCCATGCAGACTACATATTTACCCTGGAATATAAAGACAAAAGAACTGGATATGTAGCTTTAGTTATTTGCCCATGTACCCCAAATAAAAATGTTTCACTACCTAAGGTTATCATGCTAATTTCTAGCCAAGAGCAGTTTAAACTAAGATAATGTTACATAGCTATATTCCTAAGTAGAATACTGTTTGATGGTTTATTTTTCGGCAACTTTTTACCACTGTCTAATCGCTTCAACATCTGTATGAATAGAATTTGGGAAATGTTTTACTAAAAGAACAGATGATGCCACTGTTCTTGTAATGGCACATGCAGCATAATACATTTCTGCTACAATCATAGAGAAAAATCCTGAAGCTTAAATGTTATCCTTAGCTGATCCATCCATGCTTAATTATTACCACACTAACACTAACAGTAAGCAGCAACTGTTAGGGGAAGCCTGGCGACATCGCTGCCTGTTTTTTTCCTTTTCATCTTTTTTTTTTAAAGCATGCGTCTTAATTTCTCATGCTTTGTAAATGGAGATCAATTTTTGTTTAGGCTTATGTCATGACCATGAGGGTTAGCCAGCAGCCTGGGGACTAAGGGGTCAACTATGTCCCTTACCTAAGCCAGGTAGAGTCATCCAATAGGAATGCAGATAGGGATTTCAAACCGGGACAAAGGAATTTGGGGGTTTTCCCCTCCTTTGTCTCTGGGCAATTTCTCTCCAGCTACTGAGGGGGTCAGACACTATGTCTCCCTCCAAGAAAAGACTCTTCACTATCTGTAAGTAGGGTAAAGTTTAGATAAATCTGTTATGTTTCATTGTTTTATAGTTTGGGAATGGGAATCTACTGTCTGCATTTAGAAATGGGTTTTTCTCTCTTTTGCAACTAAGCTCTGGGCCCATGCTGGGGTTTCCCCCATGAATATATTAATTTGTGACTTTTTGCATCTAGTCATTATGCTTGCAACAAGAACATTGTGGTGATAATAAAAGTTCTCTTTTCTTTTTATTAACTTGGTATTGGTTAATTTGTGTGTCCTGGTTTTTACTTGAGGGCTGACATTTCCCCAAGTGATCTCTTCCCTGGTTTCTTATCATTACTTGGGTGGTGGCAGCAGATTTTTATCCCCAAAATCTAGGTTAAGTTTTTTTTTTGGGGGGGGAGGGAAGTTTTGTACCAAAGCCTGGAAAGAAAGTTTTGGAGTACTTTTGCAGGCCCCCACTTTTGCATTCATCATGCCAGAGTGGGGAAAAAAGCCTTGACAGCTTGTAATTTGAGCTATTTAAAAAAGTTACCTTGTCAGGAATATCATCTAACTCCTGAATAACATACTGTGTACAGGCAGTCCCTGGGTTACGTACAAGAGAGGGACTGTAGGTTTGTTCTTAAGTTGAATTTGTATGTAAGTCGGAACTGGTACATATTGTAGGGGAAACTCTAGCCAAACATTTCTCCAGAGCTCAGTTTTATTCTCCCACACCTCACTTCCCTCAGGCTTTATTCTCAAGCTGAGGTGTCTGCTAAGAAAAGCCACTCTGCGTCTCCCTGGTCTGCTGGGGGCGGGGGCGCTAGCTTCGCGTCTCCCTGGTCTGCTGGGGGGAAGCAGCTAGTGCGGGGTTGCCTCACCCCGTTTGTAAGTGATCCATGTAACCCGGGGACTGCCTGTACCTCAAAGAAGTGTTAAGCTGAGATCTAGTACATTAGCTATACATGCCCCTGCCACTTACCTCTTTATATCCCTTACCCAAATAGAGAGAACTGAATGTTCGTTGAACAGATACTGCCAATATTCTCCTATATTCAGAACACACACATTTTGCTAACAGCCTTTGAAATCTTATTAGCTCCAGTTCAATTTTTACATATGTGAAGAGAAGTAGTTGTAAAAAAGTTAACTTGAATCCAAATAGTAACAAATTTTGTAAGTTACTAACCCTTTTATCAGCATCTACTATTATAGCATTTTTGTTTTCTTCTGACACAATAACACATGTAGTGAAGGATGACTTGAGCATGTTAATCACCAGGTCATTGGAAAGGACATCCAACTTCTTTACTTGGTCTCCTGTCACATTGGTGGAACCAGCTATTCCATAGCTAAAGCAATGGAAAGAGATTCTTATGAGGAACAAAATACAGCAGAACCTTAGGGTTATGAGCAGTCCAGGAATGGAAGCTGTTAGTAATTCTGGGCATTATGGTGGTCCTTTCAAAAGTTTACAACTGAACATTGACTTAATATAGCTTTTAAATTTTCCTATGCAGAAGAAAAATGCTGCTTTCCCTTTATTTTTAGTAGTTTACATTTAAAATTGTACTGTGCTTGATTTCTTATCTTTGTTGCTGCTTGACTGTGTACTTCTAATCCAAATGAGATGTTTGGTCAGTTCCTAACTTTGGCATTGTAATTCTGAGGCTCTATTGTATGACACTTTGAAAGAGCTGAAGCACTGTACCTGGCCCCTCCGTCATTGGAGAGTTTTGTTTGTCATCACAGACCATCTTAAATGAGTTAAGACTTAATTAAAAGGACTAAAAATTGGCAGCCATGAATGAATCCAGTTTCTTCAAGATAATAGCTAGGACTTGAGATAGGACTGTGACTGCTTGTTCTTTCCTCTGGTAGCATCTTTAAGTAAATCCTTGCTCTTAGCTTCAGCCAGCCTTATTGATGAGGGTTGTCTCGTGTGACTTCATTAGAAAGCTAACTAAAGGTTAGTTAACTCTTGTAGGAGTAATTCAGAAGCCCCGAGTACCTATATTACAACTGCATCCTGGGGAATTTTCACAGCTACCTCCCTGGAGGGCAGCTTTATTTGTAACCTGGTGTGCATCAATTTTGCTAGTGAAATCTCGCAGGACGCTTTCTACAATGGGATTCCAGGTGCTTTGTTTCCACCTGCAAAACCTGGGAATGAACACCCTCATAATGGCTATTTCTTAAATCCTGAAGGCAAACTACCATGTTTTGCAATTTCCTTTTAATAAATATGGTTTAACAGAGCATTTCACAATGATTTCCTTCCACCTACCTCTGCTTCTAAAAGAGACATGTGATATACTTTTTTTTCCCACTCATCTGTACACTTACAGATGGGTGGGAAACACTATCTGGGTATTGCCTTCCTCAATGGAAGATAATTTCCTTCCTAGACCAAGGCCAATAGGAAAAGGAGAACTCTGTCGCCTCAGTCTCCAAACAAATTACATAAATACAGCATTCTGGAATGCTTTTAAAATGGTGACACAAAACTATCTGTCTCAAACAAGAAACATCCATAGTTCAAATGGGTAAAGTTCTCAAATCTGTACATTAACTATTTAAGAAAAAAAAGCCAAGAACACATGAAAGAGTTCAAGTCATAGAAATTCTCTGGCTGTCAGTTTTCAGCTGGTGTGAAAGTGCTGCAGTTGATCCACCTACCCAAGAGAGTCTAAGTAGGTTGAGGGATGGATTCTGTTGATCTAGCACTATCTACACAAGCATTACACTGCCACAGCTATGTCTCTCAGGATGTGGATTTTTAATCAGAAGTGTAGCATGCCAGCATATGTTTCCAATGTTGATCAGTCCTATGTTTGAAATGAAAATAGACAGTGAAATAATTTGCAAATCTGAGAGGTTTTAATTTGATTTTAGAGTACTTTTTTCACAAGACAGCAAAATGTGTCAGTTCTCTCTAGTACTAACTAAACATTTTCTAATGATTAAAAAGGCTATTCTGTGTTGCTGGAGGCCTTTTGGTTAATACGTTTTCTGTCATTTGCCGTAAGTTGTCAAGTTAGTAGATTTTCCATTGTGTTTCTCACTAATGAAACAGCAAATTATTGTAGGCATTTCTACAGAGTCATCAATATTAGGGATGTTAGCTATCAGGTAATTGAATAGTTGAGTAGCCACATGAATTCTGAATGGTCACTTGACTATTCTATAGTTCCCATGAGCAAGGCCAGTAGCCAGTGCAATCTGGCCCCATTCCCAGGGAGCCACCTGCAGCTCTCTGCTGCTGCCTCCAGTCCGGAAGGAGAGCCAGTTTAAAAAACAGCTCCCCACGCACAGTGGCTGCCTGCCACCCCATGACGCTGCCTTTGATACAGAGGCAGCAATGTGGGGTAGTAGTACCCCCTGTCCGCAGGGGTCTGAGGCTGCCATGAAGCAGCCTCTGTCTATGGTGAGCCTGGACCTCCCACAGAGCAGCATCTGTCCATGGCAAGCCTGGACCTGCCATGGACAGGGGCTGCTGTTGTGAAGCAGACTCTGCCTGCAGTGGGCAGCAGTCCACCCTGGGCCCCACACTGAGAGTCAGAGGCATGGGAGGAGGGGAAGGGCAGGTGGCACCGCAGAGCCAGTGCTGGGGGGAAATCGGATTTTAAGCTGGCTCCCCCCAGCACTAACTTCTGCTCTCCTCCTCCTCCACTTGCTGACTCAGACACAGGGGGTGGGGGAGAAGAAACGTGAGTAATTGAGAAGATTAACCGATAAAACTAGACTTATTGGCTACATCTAGACTGGCATGATTTTCTGCAAATGCTTTTAACGGAAAAGTTTTCCGTTAAAAGCATTTGCAGAAAAGAGCATCTAGATTGGCACGGACGCTTTTCCGCAAAAGCACTTTTTGCGGAAAAGAGTCCGTGCCAAACTAGATGCACTTTTGTGCAAAAAAGCCCCGATCGCCATTTTCACAATCAGGGCTTTTTTGCGCAAAACAAATCTGAGCTGTCTACACCAGCCCGTTTGCGCAAAAGGACTTTTGCCTGAACGGGAGCAGCATAGTATTTCTGCAAGAAGCACTGATTTCAGACAGTAGGAAGTCAGTGTTCTTGCGGAAATTCAAGCAGCCAGTGTAGACAGCTGGCAAGTTTTTCTGCAAAAGCAGCTGCTTTTGCGGAAAAACTTGCCAGTCTAGACACAGCCATTGGTTAATTGTATACTTGACAACTCATTTACATCCCAAATCAAGATGCAAAATAATTAGAGGTAGGTTACAGTGCAATAACTTCAGTTTATATTCAATAAAATAAGAACTAGCTTCTTTCCAATGCTATGGCAAAGCAGTTTGCTGTAATACTAGCTTGTCTAGATACTGACAAACCCCTCCCAAGGAATGACTCGCTCTTTCAAAACTTCATGTAAAGCTCACTTTTACAATGCAGGGAGAAGAAAGGGTTTTATCAAACTGAATAAAGTGATTCTAAGGCTGCTAAATCAGATTGCAGTTGATAATTCAGTCATAAGTCATCAAGATGTATCTTCCCATTCAAAAATTAGAAGTCGCTTTAAAAAAAAACAAACACCCCAATTGCACAAAAGTGGTTTTCTGTTGTTTTTTTTTTAAACTGCAGGCTCCTTTGAAGGCCACTTCATCCTAATTGCACAAAAGTGGTTTTCTGTTTTTTGTTTTTTTTTAAACTGCAGGCTCCTTTGAAGGCCACTTCATATCTTAGCTTCTGCTATTATCAGTTATAGCAAAGCATCAACTCTGCTGCAGTTAAGATTGAAACAAGTTCTCTATTTAAAGCCCAACTCTACCTGCTCCAAAATCCACACACTCTGCCTGCCGTGAAATTGTCTTGTGGGTTTTTTTTGCATCGACTTACTAAATATTCACTAGAGAGAAAAGGAACAATAGGGAGGGTTTTACAAAGTTAGATAAATGCTGAGAGTATTGTCTACATGTTGTGTTAGTGAACCTTAGCTGGGGTATAAATTCTAGTGCACACCTGCACGTCACCTGCACGTCACTTCCTGTCTGAGTGAACCCTGCTGGCATGCAGTGAAAGTTTTAGTGCACACTGACGTAGGTGACATCAATGTACAATAAGCAGTTTGTGGCTACATAGGCAGGGAGCCTGCCTGAGGGTCCTGGTGGGCTGCTAGCCAGAAGCTGCCTAGGTAAGTGCCTCCAGGCCAGAGCCTGTCTCTGGCACCCCACCACCTCCTGCATGCCAACTCCCTGCCCAGGTTACCACCCAAACCCTTTGCACCCTCTCTCCTCCAGGTCACAACTACCAGATCCTGCACTTCCTATGTGCCTTCTCCAAGCTAGAAATTTTTCCTACACCCATAACCCCTCCTGGACCCAGCACCCCAATCTCCAGGTCACTACCCCCTCCTTCACTCAAACTCTGTCCTCACACCCTTCCCTGCACTCCAGTCCCCTACCCTGATCTCCTTTCTGCACCAAACCTCCATCCCAGATGCCACATGTCCTCTATAGAAAAGTGCGGCCCTTGACAGTTTACCAAAATCTTGGAGTGACCCCGCCCCATCAAAAATTATTGCCCACATCTACACTATACAGATTTCACAGGGGGTGGAGCGACCCCGCCCCATCAAAAATTATTGCCCACATCTACACTATACAGATTTCACAGGGGAGACCAACAGTTCTCATACTGAGATTCTTGATCCAAAGGGAGTTCTGAGAGGAATGGAACACAAGCACTGTTCCCCTCTAAAAAACAGACACTTCCATCGATGAGTGGAGTGAATTTTGTCACGTGCACCAATATTGAGGTCATGTATGCATGTGCAGATGGGTGCCACCGTGATGCCCACCAGTTACTAACAATGATCTAAAAATGCATATAAATGTTAAGTACAATTAACAAGGTGCATGATTTTAAATGTTTATTTAATATGAAATCAAATAAAATGTAAAGTTTTTCAGTACCCAATTAATTAGTATTTTATTAAAAGTGTGTCTGCTCTTGTTGTCTTTGCCAGGAAAGCATAGTTAAAGGCACTGGGACTTGAGTTGGTAGGGATTGGGTTGGCCTGTTGGGATAGATGTTTTGAATTGTTTTCAACTACTGACTAACTTCTGAACACCTTGTGCACATATTGCTCCCTATTGCCTAAGAAGCAGGATTTTTTTTAATATTTCAGTTCTGTTTACATATCTCAAGTCTTTCAGATAATTTGCTCTGCCGTTCATCAAAGCTGGTGAGATTCAGTTCTGAGGAAAAAGATGCAGAAGGATTTCATTCCTCAATGTTTTATTCCTTTATTTTTATTTCTGCACCTAATCAATGTTTGAACAACAGGTGGAGAGTCAGCTTTGGCATTTTAGCACCAAGTTAGTGCAGTCTCACTCTCAAATCTGAACTGCTCTGTTTTATAGGTGCTTCCTGCCTTGTACTCTGAACAGCAGCCAACCAGCTGGAGTTACCTAAGGGTGGAAGGAGAAGGGGTAGAGGAGATAGGGAACTCCCCCCCCCCATTTTTATTCAAAGCAGCCCAGCTCAGAGGCTGCCTGCAAAAGGGAGAGCAAAAAAGGACAAATGCAGCCCAGCACATGTGGCGGGCGGTAAGATGGGGAGTTAAGAGGACAGGGAGCTGTCCCCATTTGCATTCAAAGCAATCCAGTACACAGAGTTGCCTGGAAGGGGATAGAGTGGACAAGAAGCTTCCCCTGGCTTTTACTCAAAAGCAGCTGAGCAATTGGGATTGTCTGGAATGGGGAGTGGAAGAGGTGTGTCACTTCTGTTTGCAGGCACACGCACTGCTGGCAGCCTAGCTGCTGGGGCTGGCTAAGGAGAGGCACAGGAATGGCAGCTAGAGCTGCCCAAGAGTTAAATTATGGGTCAATCCCCCTCCCCCCGGCCCCAACCTTAACTTCTTCCACCTTGTCCATCTACAGGACTCAGGAGGAGGTAGCTAATTAGTGCAGGCACGCGGTGTGGCTCCACTAATGACATGGGCAGGTCTTAATTTCTTCCTGCACTGCTGCCCAATCATGCAGTTTTTAGGGAACTATGTTCACAAGGTTATTTTAGGGGGGCTTGGTATTGCCATTGCCTGCAGAGCTGGGTTCCCAGCCAGCAGTTAGTGCTCGCCAGCTGCTCATTTCTGAAGGCAGCATTACTGGCGGCAGCAGCAGCAGTGCAGAAGTAAAAGAAGCAGAGCTCCTCCGCTCCTCCCCCCCCACCCACATGATCCCAACCCTACCCCACAACTCTTTTGGATCAGGACATCCACAATTAGAACATTGGGAAATTTCAGATTTAAAACAGCTGAAATAATGACAGTTATGATTTTTAAAATCCGATGGCTGTGAAATTGATTAGTGTGGACTGTGAATTTGGTGGGGCCCTATTTATAAAATTTCTGATTTGCTGTAAGTCACAATAGCCCATAAAGATAGAAACAGAGTGAGTACAACAGTGAACCATCTCTGATCCTTTGATCTGAGCTCTGCTAATGCTAAGAGTTGGTTAATGTTTAACAGATAACTCCTAAGATCTCCAATATTCAGTCAATGGAGGTTTCACAAAGAAAGACAGGCAAAATATCTATAGTTGGGGGGAAATTCAAATAGTTAGTTGACAGTAGAAGTGGCGATTTAAAGAGTTACAACTTCGTAAGTATTGATACAAGCAGTCAACATCACATGCCAAAGTATATAAAGTAAATCTCTTTAAATTAAACAAGATTTCTTACTTCCACCTATCTAAATTTTCAATCGATAAGCAATGGATATTTTGTTGGTTTGTGTGTGAACAGTGAAGTCAAGGTTTAATCAATACACATCCGTTTAAAAATCTAATATTTACAAGCCTGGTTAAAAGTAGCAATGGAAAAGAGTAGTTGACTGCTAGACTACACCAGAGGCAACAAAGGTGTGGAGGGGAGGCAGGAGCCTGTACATGGGGGAGCCAGTGGCTCTTACTACATTTAAAAGGAAATTCCATGGACTACTTGATTAGGTGTTTGATCGCAATTTAGTATCCCTAGTTAAAGTGTGTCCTATACTAGTCTGCTTTCCTCATTACAAACAGGATGACTGTCTTGCATGCTTTTTTAGTGGTATTTAAAAACTACTAGGGGGCTACACCCTGCTCTTGTCAACTCCCTTCTCTCTGGCCATGAAAGGGGCTGCTCCCTGCGGTCACCAACTTTCCTTTCTCTCTGGCTGATTTTGCAGCCAAAGAGCGTGATGATGACATTCTGTTGCTCAACAGGAAATTATATAAAATTAGAGAGAGGGGTTTGGATATCTACTTGGATACAAGTGAAAGACTACTGAAAACTGTAGCCATGCTAAAGTGAGCAATAGAAAATGGCTTTCAATTTAGTATTGTAGCATTATTAGTTGGCAAGTATTTTACCCAACATTAAAGGGCAATAGAATTATTTCTCATTCACTGTCCAGTCTCTCTGGAACCTCCAAGATGAAACATGCCCTATCTTTCTTCTGAGTGCACTATTTTGGGTTAGATTGCTTTAATGGAAATTGTTTTGCAAACAAAGAAAGATGGTCAACAGTCACTTTCTCTTTCCTCACCTTTTTAAAATTCCTGGTACAAACTGAAATTAGCAAGAAAATGTATAGGGGAGACGGAGCCAAGCATTTTGCACAAGATCTACTTGTGCAAGAACTGTAAATGCCACCCATCATTTGAAGAAGCAACTTCCGTTCTCTTCCAGAACACTAGGCTAAAGGACAAAAGTTCAAGCTTGATTCTAAATTTGAACATTTTAAAAACACGACACTAATATTTAAATAATGTTGTGCTGTCTGCCGTCATATCAATATTGAACCATACTTAAGTAGGTAAGACGCTTGAGTGACTCTTAGCAGACAGAGGTGGCAAGAATACAGTACTCAGCTAAGCCAAGTGTTGGCTAATTAACAGGCTCACCAAGACTAAGCGTTAGTTGTGATAGTGTCACAACGTACCCAATGACAAGGCAGCCTGTCCACACTGGGTTTGCCCTGCGTGGCGGTCTATTTTAGCCGTACATTTACGTGCTTGCCACAGAGTCAGCGGCACCCTAGCTGTCAGTGTGAGCTTTCCCCCCGCGCACTCCCAGCCTCCTAAGGCGATTGCAGGGTGAGAAGCAGGGAATGAGACGGATCTTCCACGGGCTCCTCGGGGCCCACTCTCGGGAGGGCGGGGAGGTGGGTTATTAACCGAGCTCCGCAGGCCCCCACAACGGGCTTCACGCTCACTAACCGGCTGCCCCAGTGTCTGCAGC